CTGTATCATAGAGATTGGGTGTCTATTTATAAAATCCAAACGATTTCCGACGCGGTAAAGTAATTAGGAACGCTTCCGTCATTTAAAATGAACTTACAGCGTTTTTCTGTCGATTCATCGGGAAATATTCGTTTGGATTGGCTTTATATAGTGTCGGATTCAACGCGACGGACGTCAAGACGGTTTAACTGATAAGCTCCTACAATCTGTTTACTTTATATTGGTATATAAATTTATACAAAACAATAAAAAATAGTAAATGTATAACAAATTACGGGTCTCTATAGGCACATATTTGCTTAAAGTTACTGAACTGAGGACAAATGTGTTCAGTAAAAATATTCTAATCATAACAGCAGTAACATAGTAATAACATTAATTAATATTATATAAATCAACTCCAGCTTAGTTGTAGTATCACACATGATGTTGATTAGGGCAGGTTAGCACAAAATAGACTAGATCAAAGTATTGAACGTCACTTATTGTCAGGCGATGCGTGGATAAATGATCGTTAATCACGTGAGGTTCGTGTCGTAACTTGGTCGGTTCTTTTTGGAAAGTGTTAGAGTAGGACCACACACGACGTCATTTTGCATTGAACGGGTACGAGGAAACTGAACGACACAACAGCCGGGTACATATTGGATCATTTTTTGACAAGTACCCGGAGCCATGGAGCACTATTGAAGACGCGAGACCAAGTGTGGAATAGCAGGGACTGCTAGGACTAGTTTTCGGGCAACGGAGGGAGAACGTCCAACCCATCAAACTGGAAAAGCTTGGAAGGTTAGCTTTACCCGAGAGCCAGAGGGTAGTGCTTTTTTAGACACGACTTTATATGATGCACTATATCTCGAAGGGAGCTATTACCCGATCTAGCTAGACTGGTCGTGAAAATAGTCGAAGGCTTCGTTTTCTTTTAGCGTTACCAGATCAGATATTACATTAAAATTGGAAGAAAAACGAGAAAAGGAGCTACGGATAGTTTCGGTCAGTCTTCTTATTCACATGCACACGAACGAAATATTAAATTTGGAAACAAACAAATAACTTCAAGGAATACCTCATAGAAATACTAAGTTAGAAAAATTATATATAAATAAAGAAACCCATGAAACTAGAAAATACAACCTGTACAAAGAATTCACCGACTGATTGCTTTAAACTCGACACAGCAACTAAGTACTAAACTTTTAATAAAATTTAGTCAAGTGGTACCCTTCTGGTTATAAGGAATAAGCAATCTACATTCGAGGGAGATTCTTTCCAAAAATTTATTCACGCAATATGAGTTAAAAAAGAGCAATAACTTTCACCCAAATGGTAGTTTATTTGGCAAATTCGTCCCATTCATAGAAACACGCTTTACATACAATAATTAAGATAATCATCACACCAGTTGATCTCTTCAGTCCTGATTCAGGGTGGCACTACAAACACACATCTACAAGTTCAGAAGTGAGACAATCTGTCCAATCAAATGTTAATCTCTTTTCTTATTATATGGTATACATAAGTACAATCAATTTTCACAATTAAGGAATTCACTTTTACTACCAGTAAATAAGGTACTTAGTTTATTAGTCAACAACCCGACGGTTGTTTGTCTGAAGATCGCTACATCTATTGCTCAATAGCTTTTGATTATAAGAACGTTTCAATTTTTATGTTTCTAAGCACTGGAATTGATGTTTTCGAACCTATTGTGTAAAGCTCATCAAATCGAACGCATTCTCGTTCTGTGGGGTTTCAGGAAAATTTGTACTACTCGTGTATATTGCAGGGTTATTCAATAGATTTATTTTTAAACATTTTTTTTCATAGTTTTTTCTCGAGAAATTCTTATAACAAAATAAATTATAGTTAACTGTGGATAGTGTGATATCTCGTCGATACCCATTTGGGGTTATTTACTTTCCACATACTTCAAATGGTGAATGGTTTTACTGTACCATTTCTTGGACTGCTAACCACTACTTTTATAGTCAGATTAGGTGGCGCGGTAAAGAGGGAATGGTAAGGATTCACCAGTATTCACTTATAGAAGTCGAGTACTGTTTAGTTTAATTGTAACAATAAAGTTTTATATAAGGTGCCCTCCATAGACAAATACTGTAATCTTCGAGGCGGGTCCGAATTCCTACCATTGGTTTCGGTTTTGAGTGCAACCGCGATGGGTTGTATGGAGGGGCAGTAAAAGTATGCCCAATTAGAACCGAAAGGCGGGAATGGTGAAAGTTCGGCCTCCCAGGTCCGTCATTGAATATCTTCGTGATTTTATTAAATGAACAACAAAGCTTTTGATCAGGGATCAGTATCTAATGTTTATTGGACAGAAATCAGTAAGTATCTTTATCTAAAGTGTTATTGTTCATATAGTACCTAGTACTCGTAGTGATAAAGTCCTGACCGAATGCCAGTAATTTCCGGGACAGTGGTGGGTTTCTATCATAATAATCTCTCCACGGAAACCTAGCCTCTACAAATTATTAATATGATCGTATTTCCGAATTTTCGCGTTTGGGATTGTGGTGATTTGATTTATGGAAGTTGTTACGCGAAGGCTTAAATTATTCACATAACATTTTCCTACAGGATAACTTTCATCAAATCTACCAAATTTAAAAGCAACTGAAATAGTTTTAAACATTCCTTAGGGAAAGTTCAAGTTATCTCTACTCCCATAGGATTTGTATATTTCGCAAATTTAAACGTAATAAAACAATTTTTTAATTTGGGGTGATTTTTAAAAGTTGTTTGTAGAAAGTTGAAATAATTATTTATTTTGCATTTTTATCGAACATTTGTACAAAACAGTTTTATGAGATATATGTATGTGTTGAATCTGAATTTGAGAACAGTTTTTTTTTTATTAATTTTATCGAAAAATTCCAAAATTTGTATAATTTAAGAAAAAATGTTTAAGTTGTTGTAATAATATCTAAGATTGAACTAAAAATTGTTCATCGTTTAAAAAAGTTTGACAAAAAAGTAGCTATATAAATTATAGAACAATCAGTCGTCATTAAAAGAAATAAATGTTCTTAATTTCGCTTTTTTAATTAAAATATTTTCAATTAAAAAATAATTATATATTACATAAATAAAAACATAGACAACGCTTATTAGATTAGATCAGGTAACTATAGGTTTTTTTGTCGCTTGTAACTAGGCTAACATAGCTTTGCATCGGGACGCCGACACCACACATACGTCTTTTTTGCAACGTACTAAATTAATCTTCCTGTTTCAAGCTGAAAACAGTGCCGTTTGCAGAATTTCAATATTTCTATCCCTTCTCAAGATATAAAGCCGCGAAATTTTATCTGGGACACCTGTATTGGTTTAGGATAAGAAAATGTAAGTTGCTATATACATGGTAGATTGCCTATGTATCACTTGTGGGTGATTTTGACAGATAATCTTCGAAGGTTAGCGTGAAGAAACTTAACACTAACTAAATGTCTCTGCTCATTCCCTCACAATGCAATGTCATATGAAAATGTCATGAAATATAGCGTGACAATCTCCTTTCGCTGTCGTTTATTAGTCCACTCCTAGGTCTAACTTTACCTATACCAGTTTTATAAAAAAAAATATTTGGACCACCATATTTCACGGTTTATCGTGATATAATGGACTTCTTAAAGATCTCGGAAAGACGCCAACATTTAATTAAGGAATACAAAATGTTATATCTAAATTTCATTTCCCCTTTGGAAAATTCGATAACGTCATTCGGAAAATTAATGCGTGATTTATTTTATCGATTATACCTGAAATAGCTTGTTTAATTTTTCAGATGTCATTATGTAGGACTCTAAAATTAACATATTTATCCCCGCCGCAAAGTTGAAGACGTCATCTTAAAAAATTATTAAATCATTTTTATGAAAAGCAAGGTCTGAGGTGCACGCAATGCTGATTGTGTTTTCGAGGTTAGGGAAGTTTCGTGAAAATAGCTTTGAAGGTATTCTGCTTTGACCTGTGCGGAAGCGCAGAATGCTTCTACTGGTGTATGGATCCCCTGAAAAATATTATTTTAGTTTCGTCTAGGAAATGTAATTTTTTTGTAGAGAACGATATCATTCTAAAGAATTGTACTCTTTCGTTGAAAATCCACTCGTCAGTTCTTACTTCTGCTTATCCGATAAATTCAACGCAAATGGTTTAGCATGTGGTAAAACGAAATCTTTCACACCTGTACACATCTAATAAACAAAGATAGACGCTTTTCCTAAAAATGGTGAGGTAGAAGACTTTACTTATCAAGCGAACATCGTGTTTAGATGTGCTATTCACTGAGCCTTTAGGGACCTTAAACAAAATATCACGTTTCAGTTCATAGCCATAGTCATCAACCCTTGTAGTTAGTTGGTAAAAGAGAGTCTGTTTTATTTCTGAAATAAACATGGTAAATCTTGTAATCATCTGTTGCGTGGTTTACTACTTTGTTCTTGAGCATTTAAGTGGCACGTGTTTATTGTTAGCAAATAATTTACTCAAATTTCCTAATTATAATGTACAAAAAATTCGGTTGTTGAATTATATCAAATAAGGGTCAAAACTGTGTTAAGATAATGTAGATCATATTTTTAAGCGATTTAACTCCAACGGCAAAAAATTATGAAACCAAGCCTTCTAGTTTAACTACATTTTCTATTTCGAGGAATCTCTTGATCCGTCTGAAGATTTTTGTGTCTACATACGAACCACTTAGTTTATGATAAGTGGTCCTACTCCACCGTTAAGGGTGGACTTGTAATCGATTCAATCTCACTGACAGTTGCGCTTAGCGCCTCCGCTTTCTGCGAAGCGGATTTTAGGCTTCTTCTTGGATTTTTGGATTGATGGGGTTAATGAGGGAGGTGGCGAGACTGCAAAGGACACGATATGCGTTAAATGAAGATGTATGAAATTGTTTAACACATGATTGTGCGGAGAGCATGCGCGGGTGCAGCTGAACATCCTCGAGGACGGCAGTCAGCGGCGCAACGGGGTCGCACGAGGAACCCCCGCGTAATGTACGGGAGTGAGCCAGCGGTGACCGCGGGGCGATGCTAGTCAGCTCAGACCTATGTCTGTCAGGAGCCTCCATCGCCGGGTGTCAGGACCCGGGGGATACGTGCAGCACTTCCACAACCAGTAAGTTTAAGGGGATGCAGCTCAGCAGCTTCCGTTCTGGATGTTCCTCACATCTGATGTTATGTAATACCCGCTGTACCTTTCTTGCCGGGCCATTCCGCGGCCGCCGCGGAAATTCATTCATTAACCACTCCTCATACCCATTGATCACAGAACATGACATGACCACGACCATGACTTGTTCAACTATAGCACTTATCGCCCAGATCGCATATTGTAGTACATCACTGGGGGCTAATCTGTTTCATATAAACATAGTAATTTGGTAGACCGATTCTTCTTTAGAACACACGTTTTCTGATAACCTTTAGGACGAAAAACATTCCACAACAAATCAATAGAACGTTTAGTCTTAATAAATTTATGATAGTGTTCTTTCAGTTCTATTATAGGATTATCGGGAAAGCTACTTCTCACTTCAAATGTACTCGTTTCTGTTGATATAGCGACAATGCTATTTCAGATCACCAAAAAAAAAAAAAAAAACCAGAATACTTGGTCTTTCGTAGTGTACAAGATGACTGAAACTTTTCCATTGACCATTGTTAAAATGTAGCTCGTATTGGATACCGTGAATTAAAATTTCATAACATCTTCTCTTAATTAATTAGAGCTGGTAGACAGCATGAATATCTGGTTTCAGTATTACAAAGCACAAGATTTATTAAATTAGTTTTAACCCAGTGCAACCACAATCCTCGAAGGCTATAGCGGTTAAATGAGACAGCATAACAAGCAGCCTAGACAACATGTCAAAACATTTGCATGAGTTACAAAAACTGTGTATGATAAATACCTTCATTACTATCGATTAATGGAGGACCAATAATGAAGCTCTCCGAAATTTGTAATCTAGGTTCTAATAAGGTTAGGTTTGGATCAATAAACATATGATCATATACGTTGGGTACAAAATTTTAGATTTATTTCTCGGTTTACTGCTTCGGTCCTCCTCTTCCTCCTGATTTCGATTTTTGGGACAGAATCATAATTAATAACGCAGTATTCTCGTTTTTTTTGAAACGATCAATTCTGGGTACTCAGTGTAGGATGAAAGTCAGATGTGTCAATTTCTTCTAGCCCCTAACCTAGTTAAAAACGTTCTTTGAATCACTGTATCGCTTTGAGTTTAAAAACCACTGCAAGGGTCATGCATAGTATCGATCATTTCTTGAGATAAAGGATTTGGGTTTTAGAATATTCATATGATCAACTTACTTTTCGGTATTTATTTAATCAGAAATTTTCAAAATAACAAACGTACTTATGGGAGTAGGCAAGGACTTGCTCTCATTAGTGACTAGTCTTTTTACATATATGCATAAACCCATAAATTAATCTACGACTATACACTTCAATGTTGAGAAAACAAAAGGTCTAGTCTTATAACTATGTGATTCTGTTAATTTCGTTTTGTCAGAAGTTTGTTGAAAAATATAAAGCTGGTGTTTTTTTAATTTATTAAATTTTATAAATTAAATTTCAACTGATGTAGCCATTTTGGATTAACAATCTAATTAATGTTGGTTTTCCACATTAAAAAATAGCATAGATTAAAATCTCACAATATATCTCCTTCCAACTAATTAGAAGTCTTCGACATCATGCCAGTTCTACAAAATTATTTTATTACTTTTAACTTAGTGTAGTTCCATTACTGAAAGCTTATAAAGGTTAAATAAGAAGAGGACAATACAAACAACGTAGACAGCACATTCGCAGCGGTTGCAAGGACTCTATGTGATAATAATACCTTTATTACTATCGATTAATGGAGGCACCTATAATAAAGCTCTCTGAAATTTGTAATTTAACTTCTAGTAAGGTTAGGTTTCAATCGATAAACATGCTTTTGCGGTCTACTCCTTAAATTTATCGCGGAAACAGTGTTATATTTCATTGCAATTATTTTATGATTATTAATTACAAAATCATAACACACAAAAACCGCCCTTTTGCATAATAGGTAAAGGTTAATCGGCAAAATTTCAAAGTTATTTATACTTAACTCTTTCGCTTTTGAAGTACTAATACTGGGTGCACCTTAGTGCATATCTTTTGACACAGAATTGTTTAAAATTTTTCGAAACAGTGTCAGTGTAGAAGACGAAAAATAGGTCTCCCGTTTCTGTCTGTCTGTCTGTCGTCTATCTCGATTTTTATTAGACAGATTATCTCCGAAACCACTGGACTGATTATTGTCAAATTTCGTATGTTTTAGGAGTTTCGTGTAGATGATAAAAACCTAACCAAAATTTGTATAATCATCCCCACCAACAATTTGATGACGTCCACGCAAAATGTTTCGCAGCAGTTCTTTGACATGTAACCAGCGAAAGGAAAAGCTGCGAATCAAAATATAAATAAAAAAAGGTTTTATTATTTTTATTGGCTTTTTGATAAAATAAAGATATCTAAATTTATTCCATAGGGTGGATTTTTTTCTGAAACTTTTATGCTTTAACCATAACCTTACTTGTGGCCACCGTTACTATAAATCCGGTAAGTAATGCAAAGCTTGTTCTTAAAAAATCCTATAAATTAAAATAATTGTGTTATTTCAAAGCTAAAGAAAACTTCCAAAGTAGGGTTTTTCCAAAAACAAAATTCGCACCTCTAAATGTACATTATCGATGATGTATTTGTTAAACTTAACTGAACATAAATTCCCCCCGTCATCCAATGAGTGGAAAATAAGCTTGCAAATTTAATAACAGGTGCTCAATTAGTTTCAGGTTTGCAGTTGGCTGTGCGTCGTTGAACCTATGTCGCATTCCATGGTCGAGGTCAAATTAGTTTCACATTTAAGTTGAGCGTCAGGAATTTAAACTAATGAATGTTAACGTCGTACGGCCGGCTATAAACATGAGATTTATTGAAAAGCATTATTTTCGGTGATGAGCTTTCCCGTTTGCGACTATATATGTTGCTGTAGGCAAAGATTTATTAAAAAGTAATGTCAAAAATCGCAAGTCTTTTCTGAATTAATTTCAGTTTTCGAGATAACATGGTAGGATTATGGTGTTTCTGCAACAAAAAAAGTTACAGCAACATGTATAATTTTATTGTAAAGGTTGACAACAAAAGCCTTGAAAAGAACTGTGGATAGTGGTTGAAAAGTTGACTTTATGGAAGCAGAATTTGAAATATTTGGCAAACTTTCTTAGAAAGCATAAATATATGCGGATTAAAAATGAAGAAGTGTCTATAAGAAAAATAAGATCGGTCCCTAAATATATAGACAAACAAAGAACTTACAAAAACCATTGTTAAGAAAATTGAGGGAAACGCATTTGAAACCGAGCAGTTAATGACATATTGTGATGATCTGTAGCAGTTTTCTAAATCGGTTTATTGAGAAGCCAAAGTTACTGCTACATAGATTCACCAAAAATGAACCCAAAATACTTGCTTTTATACACATATGCATAACGTTTTATTATTTCAAAAAGATAAAATTTGATAAATTTCGCCGAGGTTTTGCGAACACAGTAACATTATGATTAGGATTGAATTATGCTTATTAGAAATTAATACATTTATTTCCATCAAAAAGTTGATTACTTTGTTACAAAAATGATTATTACACCAACCTTTGTAGAACGCAGTATGTGCTGTATTTTCAAGGGGAGGGATTAAATTAAATATTAAACTAAACAAGAATTAAGCGCGACTTCAGTATACAAAACAACCCGTGTCTTGTTATCCGCAACGCAAAATTTGTTTTACCTTGATTCTGTACTAAATCCAATTTTTTTACTCTGAAATATAACACATTTAATAAGAGTTGTTTGTACACCAACGATACTGTATTTTTTTATCAAGAATGTGGGTGCTACATAATGTCACAGATGAGTCATGAATATCAAAGAGACGAAATGTGCACAATTTTTTTTAAATATTCTGTGTACATTCGTAATTTTAGAAAGCATAAGTAAGTAATTCAAAACATTAATTTAATTCAGTAACAGCAGTAATCTGCACGTCAGATGTCCTGTTTGGTGTTTGGTGGTACATTTTTTTTAATAAAACTTTTATGTAATAGATTTAATCCATATAATCAATATATGTGATTATATAAATAGAAGAGAGTGGAGAGCACAAAAACATTTTGTTTTGTATCCCTATCTCCCTAATGTAATTTTGTACACTCACGCTTATTAAAAAAAATAGCAAGCGTTTTTTTTAAAGGTGCTAATTAATTATTATAGGTCATAAATAACTAATTTTACGAAATACCACCTGGTAACTCCGTGTGCAAGTTGTCGTTTTATCTATCTTTGCTTTTGATGTCGATTTTATTTTTCTGATTACTGTCTGACTTTAAAAACCGTTCTAGGTCATGCACAGTATCGATTGTCGTTTCTTAATATAGGTTATTAATAAAAATAGTCTGTGAATCGCTGGTACGCGACTGTGTTAGTTATGGTTTACGAATTATTGATTAGAAAATAAGATTACGAATCAAACAGACTCGGTGAAGAGTTTTTTTACCTTCGAATACTTGCGAAAGGTTGATACAAGATGAAAGATGGAATTACACAGTGATGTGACGGTAGTGTGATGCGAAGTAGAAAATAAGGTAAATATCCAACTTCATAATAAATGTAAACAAGAAGTTTTCCATGTATTTATTTTTTATGTTTATACCTTCTGGGTAATCTTAGATTTGTTAATTTATTTATTGAAAAGATGTATGTATGTCAGTGTATTCTCTATGGTTTCCGCATTTCATCCGAAATCTCCATAATAACGTAGTCCTTACGGAAATTTACCTAACCGAGTGCGTTGTCATTAATTTAATATTTAATAGTCTCTTTGTCTACGATCTACGTGGCTGCTAGATTTGTTTGTAACTTGGTAAAATCTACTATCTGACTCCCCGTAAAACCCACAAGTGAAATAGAATTTTGGTAAGGTATAGGAAACAAGAATATAAATACATAATACTTAATAAAGGATGATATAGCAAATAGTCCTATCCATTGTTTACACTTTGA